GCTTGTAAACATCTTAAACTTGGTATGACCAAAATGGAACTCATCTTTTCCCCAAACCCTCTTCCCCTTCTTCCTTTTTTATTACTGTAGAGGACAACTCCATAGTCCCAGTGCCTTAGACTCAAAATTTAGGTGTCATACTGGACTCCTTATATTTCTTACCCTCCTCCTCCATTATCTAATATGTTGTCAATGGCTGCAGACTTCACTTTTACAACATCTCTTGTGTAAGCCTTCTTTTCTCCTCTGACATTGCTACCACTCTACTGTAGGCCCTCACCCCTCATGCCTTAACAATGGCAATAGCCTACTGCTGGGTCTGCCTGCTTCAAGTCTCTCCCCATTCCAATCTATCCACCATTCAGTCATTAATATGATTTTTCTAAAGTGAAGGTCCAATTATGTCAGCCTCCTACTTAATAAGTTTCAATGACTCCCTATCACCTCCAGAATAAAATATAAAATCCTCATTTGGCATACAAAATCCTTCATAATTTAGCCACTTCCTATCTTTCCAGTCTTCTTACACCTTACTCTTCACTACATACACTTTGATTTAGTGACACAAACCTCCTGGCTATTCCTCAAGCAAGACACTCCATCTTTCAGCACTGGGCATTTCTCTCTGACTGTCCTCATGCCTGGAATGCTCTCCTTCTGATCTGACTAATAACCTCCCTGGCTTCCTTTAAGTCCCAACTAAAATCTCATCTATTACTGAAAGCCTTTCCCAATGCTTCTTAATGCTCTTTCCTCCCCTCTCTCAATTGTTTACTATTTATCCCATACCTGGTTTACTTGGTATACATATACATACACACACACACACACACACACACACACACATATATATATATATATATACACACATACATATTTGTATGCTATTTCCTTCATTAGGTGGTGAGTTTCTTGAGGTCAGGGAATGTCTTTGTCTCTTTTTGCATCCCCAGAACTTAACACAGTTCCTGGCACATAGAAGATGATTAAAAAATGTTTGTTGCTTGACTGATTGATTGAATGAATTAGTACCAAAAGATTTGCTCTCAAGTTTCAGTTCTGCCATTTGCTACATGACATTGAGAAATTCTTTATTTTTAGACCTGTTTCTTCATCCATCAGATAGATATAATAATGCTTATTCTACCTACCTTGAAGAATCATTGTAGGAATCCTGTAAGTGCTTTGAAAATTAAGTACTTAGTAAAGTATTATTCTTGTTATATCACATATTTTATTGAAGGTTTGTTAATCCCCTGTGACAGATCCTGCCATTGAATCATAAAGGCAGAAAAGAATTAAAGATCATGTAATTTAATCCCTTTTACAAATAAGGACATTGTGGCTCATAGAGTGCAAATCGGACATTTGCATTCTCCAATTTGTTTTGCTGCCCTCCATATTACCGTATTTCTTCTTCCAATTCCAAGTTCAACTCTCTCTCTCTCTCTCTCTCTCTCTTTCTCTCTCTCTTTGCCTCTGTCTCTCTCTCTCCCTCTCTCTGTCTTTGTCCCCATCTTTGTCTGTGTATATGAATATATACATAACTACAGATATTTGTATAGAGTGGTATAAAATTTAAATATTTGCTCTTCTACTTTCACACATTACTGGGTTTCTTCTTGATCTGCTTGTGTTTCTGCTACATTTAAAAGACTGAGTTCCTTTTTACATTGATTTCTTGTGGACATTGTTTTAATTTTCCACTTTCACTTTCCACATTCTACATTTACTGACCTCTACCAATTTTTGGCAGCATGGTGTGGTGGAACAAGCACTTGAAGTCAGTTTAAATCTCACCTTTGATGCTTATTATCTGCATGACTGGCTGCAAGTCACTTAATCTCTCTGTAATTCAGTTTCTTCATCTGAAAAATCAGAAAAATGACAACACCTATGCACTTTGGAAACCTTACATTGCAATAGAAAAGTGAGGTATCTTTTATCATTTAACATAGCTTCCACCATCCCTCTTTGGATTCCAAATCCTTTGGCTAGTTTTTTGTCTAGTCAGTAAGATTTCTTCCTTTCCTATTCCTCTGAACCCAACCTCTAGCCCCACTCTTATGCCTTTTTTTTAAACCTCCTTGCACAGGAATAGGTTTAGATGTAAAGATTCAACATCGACTTGGATGGGGACATTTTTAAGAAGTTCCTCAAATGCATTCATCTGAAATAGTGAAGAGATAGTTTCTCCCACCAATATAAGGGTCATCATATTTTTGTGTCTCTCCATATATGTAATACCCAAAGGAGACTATTTGAAAGGCATCTCTACTGTTATATACAGTAAGATTCTGTCCTTGGTACTTGCAAAGTGGACAATTTGGTACTTGCAATTTGGACAATCCAAGACCTTCCAATGGTTAAAGTCTTACTCTTCACTAAACTCTCTGCCTTGACTGTATTGAAAGAAACTAAAATATTATTCATTCATCTTCTCCTCTTGTTTAGAGAAGTGACATTTTCTATTCCCCCACCCCTAACAAGAGACTATTTGCTGTTTACCTTTACATCACTCAAAAGCTATCTCTTTATTAGCATGGAAACTCATTAAGGACAGGGATTGAGTCTTATTTCAAACTTTATATTGCTTCTAGTACCTGGCATAGTGTTCTTGATGTAGGAATTAATACACATATATTTTCTTGGTTAACTTATTTACCTTCTAGCCTTCCTTTTCTGGGCTTTTGGTAAGTGTATAAATCCCAATATATGTAAGATCAACTCCATCCTCTTACTTTTTTTTTGTTTGATTTTTTAGGCAATTGGGGTTAAGTGACTTGCCCAGTGTCACACAGCTAGTAAGTGTCAAGTGTTTGGTCTGAGGCCGGATTTGAACTCAGGTACTCCTGACTTCAGGGCCAGTGCTCTATCCACTGCGCCACCTAGCTGCCACCATCCTCTTTTAGAATTTTTGTTTTTATAAATAACACCATTACACAAAAAGAAACATTTTATTAATTCATTTTTCAATTCAACATTTTTTTCAAAAGAATTCAATATCAAGTGGATAAAAATTATATACCAGACTATGATTTTACTATCACATCACAGGTGTTAGGAAAATGTATGCATATCCCCTCTAAAAATTGCTCTCCTAGGGAAGAATTGTTATATATTATTTATGTATTATGTTTAACCTACAATTGACCTAAGTAACATTCTAACAAATGGACACACTATTTCAAAGACAAAATTAATGTGGTCAGAAAAATTCAGTACAGCACATAAATAAATTATTTAATTATATAACACTGTAGCAATATACATTATTCTTTAACTATCCATCATTTCACCTTCTTTCTAATCTTACTTCTTGTTGTACTTTACTCCTTTCATTACTTCAAAGAATTTTGGTCTGTCTCAGAAGCAGTGTTTTATTTCTAATGCCCTCTCCCAAAATATTGAAATAAATGGATCATAAGTTATGGGATTCATACCTGGAAGGAAACTTAGAGTTCATTGAGTTCTATACTCTTATTTTACCTCTGAAACCTCTAAAAAGTTAAATGACTTGCCCAAAGTTACCCAGGTATACAAAGACAGCTGTTATCCTGGCTTTGAATCTATCCCACTTTCCACTGATTCTTGACTAGTGTTAACAAAATAGATTTCTCTAATTAGTAACGGTCACATTTGCAATGAAAGAAAACATTAGCAATGTTCAATTAGTTGCTTTTTTTTTTAATGTGGCAGCTATCTACAGATGGCACTTGCAATTCACCACACACAATATGATGGCAATGAAACTTCTTTATAACAAGGTCCAAAAGACTAAGTACATTTAAATATATTTAGGTCATTTTCATGAGGATCAAAAATACCCCTTTTTTGAAGTGGGGAAAATAGCCCTTCCAAAGAACCTTGCAATGGGGAGAAGGAAGAAAGCCCCTACAGCTTTCTCATCATTTCAGGAGCCTGCCTTCTGCAAAGGAACCCAGAGACCCTAATCAGACTCTTCGACAGTTACCTTTCCCTAAAGCATTAACAAACACCTAGGGATTCCCCATTGGAAAGCATATTTCCAACCCCCAGCCCTTTTTGAATTATAAATCATGAAGATCTTCCTTTGACTGAAGCTAATGCCTGCTATAATTCTCACGAGGACTCACATTGACTGGAATCATACTCATAAACCTATCTTGAAATCTGAAGACATGTCAATCCTTATTGGAAAAGAAGCAGGGTAATGAATATCTTTACAAATAAGTGAACATCACATTCATGATTTTTTTTAAACAAAGGCATAAGATTACATTGAAGCCCCACTATATATAATACACAGAATAAGAATATTATGTATCTATTTCTACATTTTTTTTGGTGAGGCAATTGGAGTTAAGTGACTTGCCCAGGATCACACAGCTATTAAGTGTTATGCGTCTGAGGCCAGATTTGAACTCAGGTTCTCCTGACTCCAGGGCCGGTGCTCCATCCACTGCATCACCTAGCTGCCCCTATTTCTACATTTTCAAAAACATTATTTTTAAGAAAGAAAAAAACTGAATAATTACAGTGAAATTGATCCAAAGAGAACATATGAAATGTAAAGAATCCAACTGCTTTTTGCCCAATAGGTTCCACTTTGAAGTAATTGTGTTGCTTTCTTTATTTTGAATGAACCCATAAAGGGAAGGCAGGGGCCAGGGTGGAGGGGCGGATATGGAAGAAAATCACAGTATACGATGCAGTCAGTAAATTGTGTTTTACACTTGAGTGACAGCAACTTACTGATGGCTACAAGAAGTGCTGATGGTTACTATAGGCAGCTGAGTGAATGTTAGTTTTATGATATTCCTACCAGACCTAATTTACAAACTTAAGTGTATATATGAAAATGGTGAGCCCAGGCCTAACCCAGGATAAGTGAAACAAACCACAAATGTTTAAAAAGATATAACAATTAACAGTGTTTCAAAATGATCAAATCATATCCTGTTTTATCTATTTGCATTATCTAGATAAAAAGCAGAAATTACTCTAAACCGGAAAGTTAATCAGAGTTTACATTCCTTTATTTTGCTGGAAAGTTCAATCTTGGACCCTCTTATTTCAAGAAATGCTAGCCAAATATGAATTTTGTTTCAAGAAATGTCTTCTCATTGAATCCTGAGGCATTTCCCCCCTCCAAATGTCAAATGATTGATAATACTGAAGGTTTCATTTTATTTCCTAAAGTCTTCTAAACAACAATGTTCAGCAGACTGAGAGGATCCCCATTGTAGCAGTTTTTAGGGAGATGAGAAATAAATTAAAAAGCACATCCAAGAACAACATGCTGTTCTCTGGAGAAAAGTGTGTTTGCAGAGTAATTTGTGAGAAGAGGTGCATGTTGTGAGTCACATGGACATCTCTAGTCATAGCCCTACGATGTTGGGAGAAGTCAGGTAAATTTATTTATCTTCTTTCCTCATTGAAATGGTGAACATGCAATCTCTTACTGCTTTCAAATTTTACATGCAAAATTTTTCTTCCATCTTCTTGGAAAGAAACCATGTGTAACATTTCTGTTTATGTTCATAATTCAGCCCACAATCCACTGTAAACAAAGTCCCCTTTTGGCATGACTTGGTTTGCACAATTGCACATAGATATTGACAATCAGCTCTCCAAGGAATCAACAGCAGAAGTTTTGACTCAACTGCTGGTTTTCTTCTTAGAATGGGTTGAAAGAGGATATGCCTAAGGACCTCTTTAAAAGCCACATGATGACTCTAACTGGAATCCATTCCCCAACTTTTCAGAAACCACACTCCTTAGACATTGGTAGCCTCGGTAAAAGAGTCATTGGGACAGGTGTTCTTCTTTATCTCAAGATCCTTCTTGGCTTTGAATGTCACTGACACCTCTGAGTGAATGGAGTCCACCCGCTGCTCACAATGAAAGGCAGAGAGGAAGGCCTTTCTATAGTTGCTATTCATCCAGCCATAAAGAAAGGGGTTAGCAAAAGTGGAACACATGGCAATGATATGAAATATCGTGAAAATGAGCTTGTATTCCTTCAGGTTCAAGACCTGGTTATCAATGTCAATGGCGAGCTGGAAGGCATGAAAAGGCAACCAGCTAACTGCGAACACCACTACCACACATACTAGCATCTTGGTAGTTTTATGCCGACGCTGATGGTAGTGGTCACTGGCCACCCCAGGGCTAATATGATTCTTCAACTTACTCCAGATCTGTATATAAGCAAATGATATGATACCCAAGGGCAAAACATACAGGATCAGCAAGCAAGAGAGACTATAAATTGTACTATACATGCTGTTTTCCTCACCTGGCCACTTCTCAGTACAGACCATGATCTCAAAGTCAGGTATTATCTCAATCAGAGAATACTCCCGGAAAATAGCCAGGGGACTAGCCAGCAAGGCACTGATTCCCCAGGCCAGACCAATGATCAGGAAACTGATCTTCTTAGAAATCTTGCTTTCCAGATGGTAAACAATGCAACGGTGTCTATCCAGGGCAATCACAGTTAGGGTGATTGTGGACACTTGCACTGCTAAGCCCTGGGCATAGGGCACCAGGTGGCACAGGATAGGACCCATTTTCCATTCTCCCATCAAGGTGTAAGTAAGGGTGAAGGGGAGGCAAAGAGTGTTCACTAGAAGATCTGCCACTGCAAGATTAGCAATAAAGAAGTTGGTAACAGTACGCATACTCTTGAATTTGATCACCACATGGATCACTAAGGCATTGCCAATTACTCCCAGCAAGATGATAGTGCAATAGGCCAATATGAGGACAACCTGAACTTCAATCAACTTGGTGCTATCAGTAAGCCCTGGTTTAGGGTCAGCAGCTAGCTGACCTCTTGGGGTAGTTTGTGCTGTCCCATACAATTCAACTTCTGTTTCCTCCGTGGTCTGATTCTCTTCTGTCTGTGCTCCTGTTGGCCCCACGTTCATTCTGCACAGCTGCCCTGGGCCTAGAACTAGCACAAGGATCATTCAAACAGAAAATTAGGAAAGATAAAACAAAGAGAAATCACTTAGCCTAGAGATAATTTTGCACTTGCAGTTAGATAATCAGAACCAAAATGCAAATTCCCTGTGCCATGAAATTTGCATGAAACAGGATCCTATTAGGAGATAATTCTTTGTTATAAGGATTTGATTAATATGCTAGTTTTCTGGGAGCTCCAATCAACTATGTGCAGTGAAAATATTTCCAAAGAGAATATTTGAAATGTGTTCCCTTTTGTATATACAATCAAACTATATTAGAATGGGATGCAAGGTCCCTAATATAGTTTATATATCCCTAAGATACTTTCTTTCAATAATAAGGCTTTGCAATTCTAGTTTCTAACTCTAGAAGAAACCATGAATTAGTAACACCTTATCTCCAATGTTTTGTTTTCTGGATTCACCAACAGCACTTCAAAACAGCTATAGCTCTTAGCTACTTAATAGGTATATCCTAGGGGGAGGGGAGGGTGAAGTAAACATAGGTACAGCCAACTTCCAATTACTTACTTTTTTATTAATTGTATTAATTTTTCTATGTGGTATCTGATTCTAATTACCATCCCACAGACTTCCAGGTCATGTGAGTATACTTATCACTCTTAGTACTAGTCTAAAGAAAAATATAGTTTGGAAAGGCCAATCCATTGAGACACAGTCTAGAATTTAGAGATTTAAGGTACCTAGTCCTACGCCCTACATTTACAGATGACACCAAGAGACATGTAATAACTTTCCAAAGGTCTCAAAAGAAAAGCTTGGTAATAATAATCCAAAATTAATATAAATAATATAAATATTATTCATAAATATTCTCTCTTCCATTGGAGCAGGTAATTGAGAAGTGACTAAATAACATTCCTATAGAGAGGCAATGGAGTATTGGGGAAAGAACACTGGATTTGAAATCAGAAGACCGGACTTCCATTTACTTCATGTCAGAGTAAGTCACTTTATCTCTCTGGGTCCTAGTTCCACCGTCTGCAAAATGAGAGGTCTAGACTACACGATTTCTAAATCCTCTTTCATCCCACCCCCCAACCCCCCACAAAACCCTACAATCTTTTCTCCTAGGAACAGCTAAATGTCATCTTGACCAACTTTTTGTCACTAGCACTACCAAGAAAGAACATCAGTTCTGGAATTTTACTCAAATCAATTCAGGTTTCTAACAAATATTAAAAAAGATACTTTTCTTTATTTAATCAATATGGGTTTTGTGAAAACCTAATATTTAGGTTTTACTTTGGGGAGAGACTAATGAGGGATGGCCTAGAGCCCTAGGCCTATAATTTTATCAATTCTTTAATGCAATCCGGAGTAACAACTGTTAGAGGGTTTTCTAGGGCACCTATGGAGAGGCTAAAACACTTGCTAATGATCACACGGAGAAAACGTGCCAGAAGATGAACTTGAAGCCAAGATTCTCTGACTCCAAGGCCAGTCCTCTATTGACCACTTACATTGCTGCCCTCTGTTTACTGCACCAGGGTTTTCTTTGGTGTAAGAAGCTCCTGCTGAGAAATAATGCAGATGAGTACCTTGTCTGAAACTTAGAGTTGCTTGGGTCACTGAGAGTATAAGTGACTTGCCCAGGGTCACACTGCTAGTAGGTGTCAAAGGCAGAATTTTAACTCAAGCCCTCCTGACCAGTCTCCCTATACACTGTTTACTATTAGCTTAGAAAAACTAAGAGCCAAAAAACTTTGGACCCTGTTTCATATCTTCTTCCTTTCTCTGTATCATCCCAACAATTCTTGCCCCGAGTAGTATTTCCCTTAAACTGTTTAAGAGCCTTCAACTTTACCTGAAAGAAGGTTTGAAAGAAACCAATTAAGTATATTTTTAAAGTTTAAAAATTTTAAAGTTTAAAAAGTTAAATTGTTAAAAATTTTACCAAAATTTACAGAAATCCAGGGCTTGATTCCTCAAATTAACTACAGATTGGTAGATATAAGCAGAATTCTTTTCTTTTCTTTTTCTTTGCTTTTTCTCCTTAATTCACTCTTTTCTGACTTCTTGGTTCAGTTATAGTTACACTTTAAAGCTTATATGTAGCTAAGCTCTAAGCACAGATACCATTTTCCTGTTGTCGTCTTTTTTTTCAGAACTCTACTGGTCTCCTGCCAGTGCACTGCTTTTCCAAAGGAGGTGTCATCCCCAGGTTGCACTTCTAAGGAAGTAGATGTGAGAAAAGATAGGTACAAAGAAAGAGGGAGTTGTCACTTGGTATCTGAAGAAGTGTTATAATTTACAAAATAAAACCAAAGAAATACCAAACAATTTATAAACTTTTGCTTCGACAAAGGAAAGAAACACATTTCCACATTATTTGAGACACCCTGGGAGAAGGAGGAATGAATAAGCAATCATTCTGGAATAACTTATACGTTAAGAAAGGAGTTCTGAGCCTTTTTGTGTATCATGGACCCTTGTGATAGTCTGACATAGCCTATGGACCTCTTCTCAGAATAATGTTGTTAAGTGCATAAGATAAATTGCATAGCATTATAAAGGGAATTTCAATTATATTGAAATACAGTTATCAAGATATTAAAAAAAAAAGGTCACAGAACCCAGATTAAGAAGCCCTGCCTTAGGAAAAAAGCAAGTTGGGTTTCTCCAATTAGCTGGTTCTCTAGGAATTCAGAGTTGGAAGGAACTTACAGGTCACCTAATCCAATCCCTCATGCAGTTGAGTCCCAAAGAAGGTAAGGGACTTGTTCAAAGACAGATAGGTAGTAAAGTGGCAATAGTGGGGTTTGAACCCAGCCCATGAGACTCCAAATCCACTGGTCTTTCTACTATACTTCATGGTATCATAAGGTCATATATTTAGAAATAGAAGGACCCAGAGGCCTTGCAGTCTGGCTCCCTCGTGTTATAAATGAGGGAACTGAGGTACAGAGAGGTTTAAGTGACTCGCCCACAGCCATACAACTATTAATTATCTAAGACAGAATTTGAACTCAGTACTTCCTGACTCTAAAGAGTTCTATACACTATGGCTGCCACTAAACAAACAAGAAAACAAACAAACAGAAAAACCTTTAAATTAGCTGATGCTAGGGAAGAGTAAATTATTAAGTCTAAACACAACATGAATAAAAAATCTATTTGTATTTGCAGAAATTTCTGCAATAGTCTAATGCTGTCCAAGATGATCATTTGTTAAATTGCACATTTCCACAATTTTCCTTCCTATTCCTAATATTTTCCAGGTAATTATCTCAGACACATTCCTAGAATTCATGCTAAATGATCTGCTATCCTTCTCCCCTCCAGCCATTTGGGAAACAGAGCTGGGGAGGGGGGCGGGGAAATCAGGCAGATGCTTGTTTGGGGATAGTGGTAGAGAGAGAAAAATATGCAACTAATATTCCAGTAATGTTCCTACTCTGTGGGATTAAGTTTATGTCCTTCTATCCAAATGAGGTGAAAGCACTTTGAAAACTGTAAAGTAAGGCTTACAATAAATTATCAAAGATATAGGAAGAATACATTATTATTGTTCTTAGCATCATTCCCTAATCTTCTCTACGAAAATGACAGAAATAAAAAACAAACTGCGGTCTCCCTTGTAAAAGGCTTCGAAGCTTCCAGCTTTTGGCCGCTTTTCCTTCTTCCACATCTGCCCCCACGCTTGTAGCCACTGGGTGGACACTCTGAGAGGACAATGAAGAGATGCTCCATCCCCTACCTCGATGACTCCCTCTTGCCATGCTTTTGAGTAATAGGTATAAAGCCCAAACAGCTTGTGACTCTGGGGTGAAGTTTCCCTCTCAATTTGCAATTGGGAAGAGGAATGCAAGAGGTCTAAGAGTGAAGAGGAAGCAAGTTTTCAGACATGGGGTAGGGAAAATAAGGGTGTACCATTGATCCATAAGGGAGTTACCTGAACCCAAACAAATAACCCTGAAAAGAAGCCTCAACTTCCCTCTCATCCGAAACCTGGCCAGGGTCCTTTCGCATCCCCATTGTCTCAGCAGGAAAGTCAGATGAGGCTTACCGAGCCCGCTTGTCCTTCTCCCCTCTTATCCTCTTGGCTGCAGTCAATGGAAAGGTGCCAAGCTTCAGGGGACCCGGAATATCCCGGAAGACGCAGTCCCGTCCAGTTCGTCCCGTCCAGTCCAGTGCCCAGGGCCAGCGGGAGGAAATTCCCAGAGTTGAGTCCGGGCTCACTCTCCTGGCCCTGACTTCTCTCTTTCTCCACTGCCTCTTTGGCAGCTGGGCGCAGCAGGAGCCAAGCCTCTTTTCATACGGAGAGGAGGGCGGCTCCCACCGGGCTGCGGTGCCCGTGATTTCTGCCACCCAGGCTGGTCCAGCCGCTGTAGAGAAAGCACGCCAGATTAGATGGGGAGCCCCGAAGGGACGGGAGAGAGAGCCCAGAAGGGAGCAGGAGGGAAACAGATGCGGGAGAGAAAGCTATCAGTTCCCGGGGTCCCAGACTGGGGAAAAAGGCTGGGCAAGTTCTCTCGGCAGGAAGAGAGGAGGTAAAAGTGACTTACACCCCCATCCCACAGCTGCCTTCCTCGGGGCGCCCTGCGAACCCCTTGCTATTCTGGGCAGAGCTTATGGTCCCACAACCATTCCCACCCCTCACTTTCAACGTGCATTCCCCCTCCAGTCTGCACCTTCCCTCCAACGACGCTTCTGTTATTCATTCAGCCCCCTCCCCCTTCTCTTTCCCTGCGGGCTGTGCAGTACTCTCTTCCCCCCACTTTTCAGGAACCCTGTGCCCTTGAGAGCCCAGGGAGAGAAAGCGAGGGGAGTGGACTTAGCCCCATCTCTAAGGAGAGAGAAGATCTCGATGGTATCCCGAAGAGTAGAAAGACCTTTACTCTGAGTGAGAGCTCTGCTTGGTTCAGAAACTACAACAAGCTCTGAGAGAGCAAGCTTGTTCGCTAAGCAGGGTACGAAATGAATAGAGCCTCGGGGCGGAGAGAGCTGGAAGACCCGCACCTAATCTGCTCCACTACTAAGCTTGTAATGTTTAAATAGGGGAAGAGCAGAGCAAAAGAGGGAACTTTTAAAGCAGGAGTGGGTAGGAGAGGTAGAATTAGACGTAGAAGGGCTACTGAAATAAACATCTTAATTGCGCTGGGAGAGAGCAATGTCTGGTTGTCTGTCTCCCTGCCTCAAACACGCGCGTTCTCACACACACACACACATACACACTCACACACCCTGTTTTAGATGCTAGCACTAGAGCAGAATAAGAGAAACATTCACAGCCAACCACTAGAAATATATTCGAATGCCGCGTTCTGCACTAACCCAGGAACATCACAACTGTCTGTGCCGTAGTAGCTGTCTTAGATAATTGTCTGAGGCAAAACAAAGTGTCTTACCCAGAGTTACATAACTAGTAAGTGTAGAAAGCTGGATTTGATTTGTTTTCTTGCTGACATGTTGGCTGTTCTCAGAAAGCCAAGGCACAGATCAGATGGAAGAGCCTATGTCACCCTGCAAGGGTGCTTTGGCCCATTGCCATTAGCAGATGTTGAACTGACACAGGACAAGTACTATATATTATATTTGCCCACTTTCTGGTGGTTAACATCCTTAAATGATGTTTTTCTTTCCTTGTCGACTCTGTAGCTGTTCAACCCTAGAAATGGTTGAGAAGATTTACCTTTATTCAATGCCCTCAACAGAGGTCTTTAAGTTATATTCAGAGCTACTACACTCCAGGACACAAGATACAAAGGTGTCCCTTAGTGCTTCATTCAAACTTATTCTGAGTCTTGATTAAAAAAAAAAAAAAGAAAACAAAAATAAACAAACAAAAAACCTCCTATGGTTGATTTACAGAGAGGACAACATAGCTAAATAATAATGAGAACATGATTGACATCAGTAGACCTCAAACCTACATTTGCTACATCTACCTTGTTTGTAATTCGAGAGGAGTCACTTTATTGCTTCATTTCAGTAGGAAGGGCAATGTCCATTCCCTTCTATCATCTGGTGAGCGTTATGAAGACCATTTAGGGTATGCTTACAATTATGTTTATTCTGTTTCTTTAAGATAAGCAATTTTTGTTGGTGGAGTTGTGAACTGATGCAACCATTTTGCAGAGCAATTTGGAACTATGCCCAAAGGGCAACAAAACTGTGCACACCCTTTGAGGTCCAGCAATACCACTACTAGGTTTGTATCCCAAAGAGATCATAAAAAGGGAAAAGGACCCAGATGTGAAAAATATTTATAGCAGTCCTTTTTGTGGTGGCAAAATATTGGAAATTGAGAGAATGCCAATCAATTGGGGAGTGGCTGAACAAGCTTGTGGTATATGGATGTAATGGAATACTTCTGTACAATATGAAATGATGAACAGATTTCAGAAAAATCTGAAAAGACTTGTACTAACTGATGCAAAGTGAAATGAGAAGAATCAGGAAAACATTATACACAGTATCAGCAATATTGTGTGATAATCAGCTATGAATAACCCAGCTCTTCTCAGCAACACAATGATCCAAGACAAGAACAAAGGACTCTAGAAGGAAAAAGCTATCCACATCCACATAAAGAACTGATGGACTCTGAATGCCGATTGAAGCATATTAATTTCACTTACTTTATTCTTTTTCACTTTTCTTCCTTTTGTTCTGTTTCTTCTTTCATGGAAATATGTTTTACATGATAGCACATGTATAACCTATATCAAATTGCCTTCTTGGAAGAGGGGAGGGAGTGAGGGAGAGAGCAAAATTAGAAACTCCAAATCTTGTAAAAATGAATACTAAAAATTGTCTTGACATGTAATTGGAAAAAATAAAAATAAAATACTATTAAAATGTATACCAAAAAAAGATAAGCAGTGTTTTCATTGTTACAGAAAAAAGGTATGTAAATTCCCTCTCCTAAATGCCAACAAAAGACCCATCTGAAAATGTGTATCTCAGGCTCCAGTCTATTGGTCTCGATTGAAAACCTAAAGGTATTATAGAAATGGGAAACATTTTTACAAAATGCAGATGAACTAATCACATTTGAAATAAGCTTTAAGACTGATCTATAGTTGTGAGCATATAATAGGGCATTTTGCATTTTCCAGTTACCAAGAGAGAAAACAGACTAGAAATATCTAAGGTATGCTACAGATTTCAAATTTTTAAAAATAATATTTTATTTTTCTCAATTACATGTAAAGACAATTTTAACATTTTTTTTTAAATTTTGAGTTCCAAATTCTCTCCCTCCCTTCCCCACTTCCCCTTCAACCTGAGACAGAAGGCAATTTGATACAGGTTATACATGTGCAATCATGCAAAACATATTTCCATATTAGTCATGCTGTGGATTTCACATTTTTAAAATATCTTTGTAGAGACAGCATTGTAAATTTAAAATATCATTGTAGAAACAAATTCTACATGAATTCCAAGTGCATTTATGTTAGCATGGTCAATACCTTCTCTTCTAAGATATTTTCATCAGTGAACAGTTTATGTAAGGTATAACATGAAAGATTTTTTAAAATAAATCCAGGAAAGTATGCATCTAAACAGATGCTGAACTTTAAAGTAGGCACCTTGGAAAGTCTGAATGGATTCCGGGCATTGCCCAATGTCATTTGTTTAGCCATTTCCCAATAATGGCACCCCCTTAGTTTCCAATTTAGGGATGCCACAAAAAGCTAGTTTTGTACATATACCTTTTCCTCTCTGATTTCTTAGACCTACTAGTGTTAAAACTGGATCTAAGAGAATGTATATTTTAGTAACTTTCTGGGCATAGTTCCAAATTGGTCTACAGAATGGCTAGACCAATTCATAGTTCCATCAGTAGTGCACTAGCGTAATTGTATTTGTGTACCCCCTCCAAATTTGTCATTTCCCCCTTTTGTCATCATTGCCAGTCTGAATCTCAAAGTTGGTTTAATTTTCATTTCTCTAATTATTAGTGATTTAGAGCATTTTGTATGATTATTGAGAACTTGGCTTTCTTTCTTTGAAAAATATTTATCTATTTTCCTTTGATTATTTATCTATTAGGGGATGATTTGTCATCTTATAAATTTGAATCTGTTTCTTAATTATCTTATATATAAGATCTGTTTCTTAATTATCTTATATATAAGATCTTTATCAGAGAAACTTGCTGAAAAGACTATTTTCCAATTATTTCCTTTCAAATTTTAACCATGTTAGATTTGTTTGCATGCTTTGAAAATTTTACGTAATTAAAATTGCCCATTTTATCTTCTATGATTCTATCACTTGTTTACTCAGTTTTCATAAATCAAAAGGTGCTTTCCTCTTTGCTGCTCTAATTTGTTTATGATGTGATGTGTTTTTACGTGTAAGTCAAGTACTCACTTGGACCTTTCTTGGTATATGGTGTGAAGTGTTGGTCTAAACTTGATTTAAACCATGTTGCTATCCAGTTTTTTGAGCAGTTATTGTCAGATAATAACTTCTTTCCCCAATAACTGGAGTCTTTGAGTTCAACACCTGGTAACTATGTTTGTTTGCTGCATTCCTAATCTACACCATTGATCAATCGTCTCTCTGTCTCTGTCTGTCTCTGTTTCTGTCTCTGTCTCTATCTCTGTCTATCTGTTTCTCTCTCTCTCTCTCTCTCTCTCTCTCTCTCTCTCTCTCTCTCTCTCTCTCTCTCTCTCCCCCTCTCTCTCTCTCTCTCTCTCTTTCCCTGTACCAAATTATTTTGATGATTACTTCTTTGTAGTATCATTTGAGATCTGGTACTGATAGAGTGAGATTCAAATCCATTTTTCCTTCCTGACTTCAAATTGAAGTTTGTAGCTCTGAAAAGATTTAAGAGTAATGTAGTCAAGATTTCCAGAAAAATTCCTACTCTCCCTATAGATTGCATGAAATGTTCAGAAACAAAACCCCATGAAATTCTGCAGTGAAGAAGCTATAGACTAAATTCATATTTGACCAATACAAATTCAAATGTTTGTTCACAGTTGAGGATAGAAAACTCACAACACAATTTTATTTAGTAGGACTTCATGTAACATACAGGATCACAGAATTTCTCTGTGATTCCGAGTCCTCAAGTCTTCCGAGTTGAAAGGGACCTCAAAAGACATAGATCATAGATCTAGAGCTGGAAATTACTTCAGCACCATAATGTCGTCTTGTTTTATAGATGAGGAAACAGAGGTTCAGGCAAGTTAAGTGGCTTGCCCGAAGTCATCAAGTCCAACCCATTTTTTGAACACTTTACATTTTTAGTGACAAGGGATTATCCAGTCTCCACATAAAGACTTCCCCTCTAATGATGGAGAACTGATAA